CGCGCTCTGGCCAGGGCCAGAGCCTCCACGACCACCACCACCGCCTCCACCACGACCACCACCGCCCCTGCCGCCGCCACGTCCACTGCCGCCACCACCACCGCCCCCACCCCGACCACCGCCGCCGCCGCTGCCTCCACCACCCCCACCGCTGCCACTAGCCCCTCCAGTCCCGCCACCGCCCCCACCGCCGCCACCACCCCCACCACCGCCTCCCCCGCCGTCACCCCCACCGCCCTTGCCTCCCCTGGCCTTGCCGCTGCGGCGCCCGCTGGGAGCGGACGCAGAGCCGACCTGCTCAGCACCAAGGAGGTCGACAGCGGCAGCAGAGGCGACAGAGGGGAGCAGGGGGGAGGGGGAACACCCCTCGAAGAAAGGGGTGCGGGGGTCGCCACGAGAGGCACCTACAGCTACAATACTCTTCTCAGCTGCAAGTAGTTCCTTCTCTAGGGCGGCAATGGTGAGCTCAGTGGGGCAGCGAGCTAGGAAGTGGTCCCTGACTGTACGCAGAGTGTCAGGGAGGCGGGTGACTAGGTGGTAGAGAGTGAGCCAGAGCGGGGGAGGGTTGGAGGCAAGAAACTCAGCGGGCATGGCTGCACGGAAGCGGGCATCACTAGTGCGGAGGTGAGTGATGAGGTCAGCGACTGTCTGGAAGGCGGACAGGTCGGGGAACAGGTAGGGAAGCGAGAGGCGGCCTAGTGCAGCTGAGGCCGGGGAGGAGTAGCGCGCAACTACAGCAGTGTAGAGGGCCTGCGCAGTCTGATGCTGGCCAAAGTGCTCGCGCTCATCAACTGGCAGGGAGTTGCGAATGGCAAAGCGGGCGTGGGCATCGCGAGTCTGCCACTGCGAGCGAGCAGTAGCGGTAGCAGTAGTAGCAGGAGCAGGGACTGTGCCTAGTGCGTGATCGTACAGCGAGATATCCTCTCGGGCAGTGAGCTGGAGGAACAGGTGCAGATCATCGAGCCAGGTCTCAAACTTAATCGGACGGCCCTCAGTATCGAACGAGAGAACTGTAGGGCTAGCCATAGTTGAAGCAGTAGCAGTGGCAGTAGTAGTAGTAGCAGGAGTAGCAGTAGCAGCAGTGGTAGTAGCAGTAGGGCGGCGCGGCTCGGCTAGGGCGGCGCGGCTCGGCTAGGGCGGCGCGGCTCGGTCGGGTCGCGCGGCTCGGTCGGGTCGCGCGGTTCGGCTCGGTCCTAGAGAGGCGAGCGCGGGGCCGGGTGGGGCTGTTAAGGGAGAGCGCGGGGCCGTCCAGGGCGAGGGCGAGGCCGGTTGGGAGCCGTTCCGGGCTAGCGCGGGGCCGTTCGGGGGCCGTGAGAGGCTAGCGCGGGGCCGACGGGGGCCTTAGAGGGCTAGCGCGGGGCCGAGGGGGGGGCCGTGAGAGGCTAGCGCGGGGCCGACGGTGGCCTTAGAGGGCTAGCGCGGGGCCGAGGGGGCCGTGAGAGGCTAGCGCGGGGGGCCGTACGGGGCCATTCGGGGCTAGCGCGGGGCCGTTCGGGGGCCTTAGGGGGCTAGCGCGGGGATAGCGCGGGGCCGACGGGTCCTTAGGGGGCTAGCGGAGAGTCTCGTGAGACAGACGGCGACACGAACAGGGGGCAAACTCAGGACCAGACCTGGACGCTGCAGCAAACACCTGACCAGACGAAGGGACTCTACCAGACTCAGCACCGGGAGGAGAAGCAGTGGTCAGTGTGTACTGCTCGACCCTGGCTGACGTGTAAACGTAGCCAGGTGGCGACCTGTTCTAGCCTCAGTGCAGTGTGTCACCCGCTAACGAGCAGGAGTGAACTGGTGGACCCCCACATCCTGTAGGTCAGCACCACTCACCAGGTTCGTAGAGAACGAGGGGAGGTAAAGACCAGTCAGGGTGCCAGACGGAGCCGCCGGACACGGGAGGACTGTGGAGAAACGAGACAAGACAGGACCCCCAGAGGGGTCAGCCAGGGACACCGCAACCGGCCGACTAAGCGGCGTGAGAGTGGTGCGGTCCCGAAAGAAGGAGCGAGACGCCCCAGAGTCAAGGGTGAAGGTGTGGGAGGCAGAAGCCGACACAGTACCTGAGAGGGCAGAATCACTAGCACCTGAGAGCACAGACGCACTGGCACCTAGAGCAGCAGCCTCACTGGCACCTGACATAGCAGTACCAATGCCCGGGTCGGGCGGAAAGCACCGGTAACGGTCACCATCATCACTAACAGTCACAGCATACATGGCAGCAAGGATAGCATCAAAGTCAAGATCAAACACAGCTACACTAGCCCTAGACAGCTCTCCCCAGCGGGGGATCTCAGAGGCCTCCGGAAACTGCTGGCGCCAAGCGTCGGTCAGGCGGGCAAAGCAGCGGCGAGCGGTGTGGGTGCCCCCACACTGCTCACCCGCGCGGTCGCCGGTGCGAAGGACGTAGGTGCAGGGACCGAACGCCCCACCACGCTGACGCTACGAGTACCACTCACGGAGCTGCTGAGGGGCGGGGACGTCGCGAGAGTTCTGCTGCTGCTGCTGCTGCTGCTGCTACTGCTGCTGCTGGCGCTGACCACCCCCAGTGCCGCTCCTCTGGGACGAGCCACTTCGACCACCTCCACCACCGCCACCCCCGCCTCCGCTGCCACCGCCGCCCTCGCCCCTGCCGCTCCCACTGCCTCCTCCGCCACCACCTCCGCCGCCACCTCCGCCTCCACTGCCGCCACCAGTACCTCCACTCCCGCCTCCACCCCCACCGCCACCCCCACTCCCCCCGCCGCCCCCACCTCCTCCGCCACCGCCCCCGCTAGCTCCACCCGCTCCCTTGCCCCCCTTGCTCCTGCCAGAGCGGCGCCTACCGCTGGGGGCAGACGCCGCACCGACCGACTCTAAACCAACGAGGTCGGCCGCAGCAGCAGAGGCGACAGAGGGTAGCAGGGGGGAAGGAGAACACCCCTCAAAGATGGGGGTGCACGGGTCACCACGAGAGGCCCCTACAGCGACTATGCTCTTCTCGGCCGCTAGCAGGGACTTCTCAAGGAGGTCGATAGTGAGGGTGGTGGGACAGACAGAGAGAAACTGGTCCCTAACAGCACGAAGGGACTCAGGGAGACGGGTGACTAGAAAGTAGAGGGTGATGTACATGGGAGGGGGGTTTTCGGCGAGGAAGGCAGCAGGAAGCGCAGCTCGGTAGCGAGTGTCACTAGCGCGAAGGTGGGTAAAGAGGTCAGTGACTGTGGGAAAGGCAGGAAGGTCAGGGAAGAGGTACGGTAGCATGAGGCGGCTCAGTGTAGCAGAGGAAGGGGAGGAGTAGCGCGCAACTACAGCGTCGTACAAGGCCTGAGCAGTCTTGCACTGACTAAAGTGTGCACGCTCGGAGGAAGGGAGGTGGCGACGCACAGCAAGACGTGCAGCAGCATCGCGTGTGGCCCACTTGGAGCGAACAGTGGGGTCAGCATCAGCAGGAGGGGCAGGGACAGCGCCAGAGACAAAGTCAAAGAGAGAAACCTCATCGATCGCATCGCACAGTAAGTACAGCTGCAGGTCCTCAATCCAGACTGCAAAGTCAATGGCGCGACCCTCAGCGTCAAAAGTCAGGACACTGGGGGTGGCCATTGTAGCAGCTGACAGTGTCAACGGGCAGGAAGAGTCGGGTAGCACAGCGACACAACAACACGGCAGCACAGCAGCTGCGCCGGCCCAGGAGCAGAAGATCGGCTCCTCGGGCGGCTCGGGCGGCACGGGCGGCTCGGGCGGCTCGGGCGGCTCGGGCGGCTCGGGCGGCGGAGGCGTCTCGCGGGCGGCTCGGGCGGCGCGGGCGTCTCGCGGGTGGCTCGGGCGGCTCGGGCGGCGCGGGCGTCTCGCGGGCGGCTCGGGCGGCTCGGGCGGCGCGGGCGTCTCGCGGGCGGCCGCACGGGCGGCTGGGACGGCTCGCGGGCGGCTGCACGGGCGGTTGGGGCGGCTCACGGGCAATGCACGGGCGGCTGCACGGGCGGCTGGGGCGGCTCGTAGGCTGCGCACGGGCGGCTGCACTGGCGGCCGCACGGGTAGGTGCACGGGCGGGTGCACGGGCAGGTGCACGGGCGACGCGGCGGCGAGGCCGCGTAGCAGAGGGCGGCGGGGCCGCGTGAGCAAGGCGGCGGGGCCGCTTAGCAGAGGGCGGCGGGGCCGCTTAGCAGAGGGCGGCGGGGCCGCGATCGAAGGGCGGCGGGGCCGCTTAGCAGAGGGCGGCGGGGCCGCGATCGAAGGGCGGCGGGGCCGCTTAGCAGAGGGCGGCGGGGCCGCGATCGAAGGGCGGCGGGGCCGCTTAGCAGAGGGCGGCCTGGCCGCTAAGGAAGGGCGGCGGAGCCGCGATCGAAGGGCGGCGGGGCCGCGATGGAAGGGCGGCGGGGCTGCTAAGGAAGCGCGGCGGAGCCGTGATCGAAGGGCGGCGGGGCCGCTAAGGGAAGGGCGGCGCGACGGGCCGCTGGGGGCGACACAACGGGTCGCGAAAAAAATGGAGAACGCGCCTCGGGGCGCGCTTCGGTGGGCCCTAGAAGTAGTCCCTAGGAGGGAACCTGCTCTAATTCCATGTGAAAGAAAGAACGAGAATGAATGAACTATGAATGAAGTGAGTACAAATATGAAACCCTAATTGGGTTGTACCCCCTATGGGATACCCCACTATAGCCTACACAAATAAGTAAGCTATAATGTTCTGACACCAAACAACTCACCATCCCAGCAATGTGTCTCACAACCGCCTCTCAGGCCCTTTGCCCAACACTGCTGCCAGTCCAGCTCTCATCAATGATGAGGGCCTTGATAACTGCAAGAGCCCTGGTAACCACGAGATTCCTGGTAACTACGAGATCCCTGTTAGTAACCATTTGAATTTTGCGAGTATAAACTCCCATCCCTTTCCCTCACCCTCCCCTTTCCCTCCCGCGCCCTCCCATTCCTAATGTGTGTTCTGTCACCCATCGCTTTTTCTTCTCTCACTTCTGCCCACCCACGTGTGTCTCTCTCCCTCGACTCGCTCAACACGCATAAAGCACGTTCCCATGTTCCTCCACAGTGATCTCTCATTCAATGCACTCTCAGGATCGCTGGAGAGGTCCCATATCAATCTCAAGTATCCGGCCCTGCTGTGAGTGCCTGCCTATGCTGTGAGTGCCCGCCCATGCTGTGAGTACCCGCCCATGCTGTGAGTGCCACCACACCACATGTCGTTGCTCTTACTCTCGTCAGCCCAGCTTCCCTGCTCGTGCTATCTTTGAGTCGTGCTTTTCTTGTTTGGCTTGCGTCCCCTGCCGCGCCATCGCGCATGCCTCTTCTTGCTTCTTGCCCACCTGCCCCCCACTCCTCCCCCCTACTTCTCGTGCATCTCCCATGCGCCCTCTTGCTTTCTTGCCCGCCCAGCCCCCATTCCCCTCCTACTTCCTGTCCGCCCATCCCTGCTTCCCGTTCTCCTCCCTCTTTTTGCCTCCCATCCCCCCCTCCCCTCTCCCCTCCTGCTTCCCACCCCACCATGCCTGCAGGGCGGTGCACCACAACCAACTGCTAGGCCCCATCCCCGAGTACCTCTGCCAATCCGTGCTGCAGATCATGTTACGTCCACATGCTGTAACGCCCACATGCTGTAACGTCCACATGCTGTAATGCCCACATGCTGTAACGTCCACATGCTGTAACACCCACATGCTGTAACATCCACATGTTGTAATTCACACATGCTGTAACGTCCACATGATGTACTATCTATATGCTATACCATTCACGCTACGCAACAATACGATCAGGTAATTTTGCAGCCCACATGCTGTAACGTCCACATGCTATAACGTTCACTCGGTCGGTGCACCATCCACACTATGCAACGTGCTCACCATGCAATGTTTGGATAGTGTAATGCGCAGACGACTTACCATTCACACAATGTAGCATTCAGGTTATGTTCCCCGTGGCAAGCAGGCAGGTATGAATGTGGGCATCCGTGTCAGAATATTATCTTATTGTTCTAGCCTGTAGTGGGGTGCTCTATAGCGAGTACAACCCTTCTAGGGTTTGCTATTTGTATCCTCATTCTTGCTAGTTCAATCCTCTTTCTTCTTCTAAACTTTGACATGCTATCAGAGCAGGTCGATCCCCTTGGATCGATCCTGTGGGTGTGTCCCCACCTTGCTTCCGCTGCTACTTTTTCATCCCGCCGTGCGCCCCGAGGCGCGCGGCGGTTTTCTGCCCGCCGTGCGCCCCGAGGCGCGCGGCGGTTCATTGCCCGCAGTGCGCCCCGGGGCGCGCGGCGGGCTTCTCCTCTACGTCGCGGCCCCGCCCCGGCCCGTCGCCGCCCGTGCGCCTGCCCGGCTCGGCCCCGCCCTTCGTCGCGGCCCCGCCCCGGCCCGTCGCCGCCCGTGCGCCTGCCCGGCTTGGCCCCGCCCTACCTGTCGCGGTCCCGCCCCTCCGTCGCGGCCCCGCCCCGACCGTCGCGGCCCCGCCCCTCATCGCGGCCCCGCCCCTGCGTCGCGGCCCCGCCCCTCGAAGCGGCCCCGCCCTACGTCGCGGCCCCGCCCCGGACCCTATGCGGCCCCGCCCTACCTTCGCGGCCCCGACCTGTCGCGGCCCCACCCTACGTCGCGGTCCCACCCCGACCGTCGCGGCCCCGCCCTCCCCTCAGGTCCGTGGTGGCCCCCCCCCCCTTTCTCCCCTTCCCCCATTTCCCGTCGTCCGTCGTGGCGACCTGAGGGGCGAGCTGTGGGGTGGCGGGTATGGGGGTGGCCGGTGTGCCTTCCTCCCTTTCTCCTCCTCCTCCTTCGTCTCCCACTGCTGCAGCTGTCGCTGAGGGGGGTGGTTGTGTGGGAGACTGGGGTTTAGGGTTTTAGGGGGGTGCGTGGGAGTAGAGCTAGTGGTGTAGCAGTGGGTGTGTATCAGGGGGGTGGGACTGTGTGCGGGAGGATGAGCGGAGGTTGCCAGTTTGTCGTCAGCAGCACCTGTAGTCCGGGGCGCTGTCCCGGTAGCCCAGTCGTAGCCAGCTGTGCCAGCCGCCCGTGGGTCCGTTGCCCGTCCGCCGCTATTTGAGCCGCGGGGCCTGTTACCCCTGTAGTCCGGGCGCTGTCCGGTAGCCGCTGTGCCAGTCTGCCTCCTGTTGCCCGTGTGTCTGCAGCTTCAGCCGTCGCCTCCTGTCTCCTCTCCCCTCACTCTCCCTCCTCCTCCTCACTTGCCCGTTGTGACTACCACTAGCTTTGCTTATAATTGTAAACTCTAAACTATTTCTTCTTGAACTTGTGCTCAGAATGTGTGGTGACATTGTGATCCACCCTGAGCTTGTTTTGCTTTGCCTGCTCTGCTGATTACACCCCACTTTGGCTATGGGGGTGTGTCAGAATATTATCTTATTGTTCTAGCCTGTAGTGGGGTGCTCTATAGCGAGTACAACCCTTCTAGGGTTTGCTATTTGTATCCTCATTCTTGCTAGTTCAATCCTCTTTCTTTCTTCAAACTTTGACAATCCGTGCAGAGAGCATCCACCTACCCCCCCCTTCCACCTGCCCTCCCCTTCCACCTGCCTTCCTTTCCACCTGCCCCCCCTTCCACCTGTCCCCCCTTCCACCTGCCCCCCCTTCCACCTGGCCCCCCTTCCACCTGCCCCCCCTTCCACCTGCCCCCCTTTCCACATGCCTGCGCGTCCACCTGCACGCTCTTAGGCAGCAACGCCTTTTCGGGGGCCCTCTCTCAGTGCCTGCCCTTCGTCTCCTCTGTGCATCTCATGTCCATTCCCCCGTCACCCTTAGCCCTTCACCCTTCACCTACAAGAGGTGTTCACCTCTTGTCGCTCTCTGATTTGTAACCTTTGACCTCCAATCGAGCTGCAAGTTCCGCTACAAGAGGTTGTTCGCCATCTCTGCTCCTCACCTCTCCCCTCCCCCTTGACCCCTGCTTCCTCTTACTCTGTGCCTCTCTCCCAGTGACGTCAGCAATAATCTCCTCTTCAAAAACGCCCATCAGCCTAGACCTCAGCGGAAACTACCATACGGCTCCTTCTCCCCCTCCCCAAACATCACCCTCTCCTCCTCCTCCCCAACCCCACCCTTCCCCTCTCTCATTCTGCCAGCGACCCCCCAACCCCAATCCCCCCCCCCCCTGGGCAGTCCAAGATGCATCGAGCTCTCAGTGGGTGTGGGTATGGCAGGGGGAGCAACAAGGGAGAACTGGAGCGGGAGGGGAGGGTGGGGGGAATGGCAGCGCAGTGGCATGGCTGGCTGTGGATGGGAACGGTCTAGGGAGTGAGGGGGTGGGGCAGCAGCGGGGGGCTGTAGAGTGTGCGGTAGTGTGTGGGACAGAGTCAGGGCAGGGCCAATGTGGGGGTGTGGGTGCGGGGCAATGTGTGGTGGAAAGCGGTTGGCCGCCATCCCTCTCGTGCTCCAGTGCCAGTGGCTACGTTGCTGTCAGTGCTGCCAGCAGTGCCAACACCACCACTTGCGAGCTGCCACCCCCGTCCCTACCCGGTATGTTCCGTCAGTGGCTTGGGTTGCTACCCTGCTCCCCTTCCACCGTGTACCCAACCCTCTTTGCTGCCTTCTTTAGCTTCACTACCACTCCCTTCCCTCTCTTTACTTCTTTAGCTCGCCCCCCTTTTCCCCTCTCGTCATGCTCCCTTCCCCCCTTCGTCCGCCCTCCCTTCCCCCACTCCTCCGCCCCCCTTTCCTCCCCTCGCCCCCTTCCTTCCCCCCTCGTCCCCTTTCTTCCCCCCCTCGTCCCCCACTTTCCCCCCTCCGTCCCCCTAATTTCCACACCTCGTCCCCCCCCTTTCCCCTCTCTTCTGACCCCTTCCTCCCCTCATCCCTTGTCCCCCCCATAAGCATGCCATGAGGGTTCTGCTGCTCAATTCTTATCACTCTTTTCCGTGCTGCCATAGCTCCGCTAATCAACAACCCCTTCCCCTAAACCTCCCTTCCGTGGCACTGGCCTCTCTATCCACAGGCGCCATACTGGGCATCGCGTTGGGCTGCTTTGCTGGCTTCACGCTGCTCGCAGCGGTGCTTGCATGGCTGTTGTGGCCCCGGGGATCAAGTGATCCCCTCCGCCCTCCTTCACCTCCTTTTCGTCTTCCCTAATGCTCTACTTGTTCTCTGGCCTCCTCTTCTGCTCAATTTCCTGGCCGTTTCTTCTGCGTTACAACTCTGCCTTTCCACTACCCTCGTGCTCTCTCCACTCATCCACACACTTACTCACTCATTCCTCTTGGTCGCTTGCTGTTAGAATCTAGAGACAGGAATGGATCAACTATGAAAGAGTTGGGTACAAGTATGAAACCCTAAAAGGGGTTGTACCCCATATTGGCTACCCCACTACAGCCTACATATAGATAACATGCAAATACTTTGACACACCCCCATAGGCAAAGTGGGGGAGAACAAGGGGTCACAAGACCAGTCAAGAGAAGCAAACCAAGCTCAGGGTGGATCACAACGTCACCACACAGACTTAGCACAAGCAAAGGGCAACAAGGCCAGTTCACATACAGAGGTATATATGCAACAACAATAGCACAGAGATCTCTACCTACCAGGAGCAAGCATGCAGGCATAAAATTATAGATCACAGTACAGGCACAGCCTACAGCAAGTGAGGAAACGTAGGCACAAGGCCCAACAAAGTACAAAAGCGCTGATGATCACGAGGCGGAAGTGCCTTGGTGAATATATCAGCAGTGCTGGCCTGAGTGGCCACGTGAGCAAGACGAAGCTGCCCACGCTGCTGCAACTCTCGAGCTAGGAAGTAACGCAGAGCGATGTGCTTCGTTTTGTGCTCCAGTCTGTGCTCCTGATACAAGGCAATGGCGGCCTTCTTGTCGACGTACAGAACTGGAGGAGAACGAGGCCGATCTCCCAAGCCGGTCAGCAGGTAGGTAAGCCAGCGTAACTCCTGTGCAGCCATGGCTTTGGCATAGATCTCAGCCTCACAACTGGAGCTGAGAACTGAAGACGAGCGTGTAGAACGCCAAGAAACTGAACCAAAGCCAAGGCTGAAGGTGTAACCCTGTGACGACCGCTGCGTAGCCTGGTCGTCAACCTAAGAAGCGTCTAAGTGCCTAGTGAGGATAACGTCGCTCCGTCCTCCAAGCACGAGCCCCATACCCGATGTACTGCACAAGTAGCGTAGTACCCTCTTAGCAACATCCATGTGCATCTTTCGGTGCCGACCAGGAGCCACGAAGCAAGCCAGAAGGCCAAGAGGGTACGCAAGGTCAGGACGAGTGCAGGTCATCAGGTACATAAGGCAGCCCACTAGCTCTGGGTAAGGACCACTCGGCTCTACGGACTCGTCCGAAGGTGGAGCTGAGAGCGAGTGACCTATAGCCAGAGGACTGGCCTATGCCGAGGACCAGGTGAAGACGAAGCGCTGAAGGACCTGCTGCACCATGTGTGACTGAGTCAGTGTGATGGTGTGGCGTGCTCTGTCCCAGGTGATCTGCAAGCCAAGGTAGCTGCGCAGCTCACCCAGGTCTGTGCACGTGTGTCTCTTTTGCAGCTCCGACTTCACTAGGGCGAGAGCCTCAGTCTCAGCAGTGGCAAAGACCAAGTCGTCGACGTACACGAGGATGTAGAACGGCGGCAGCGAAGTGTTGGTGCGCAGAAAGAGCGACAGGTCAGCAATCGACGGAGCAAACCCAAGAGCTGCAAGTGTCGTCCTCACTGTGTTGTGAGGGGCGGCTGTGCAGTGCCACCAGCACCAGTAGCTCCAGTACCCCGTGCAGCTCCAGCACCTCCAGCAGCTCCAGAACCCTCAGCGCCAGCTCCTCCAGGACCAGCTCCACCAGCACTAGCACCCCCAGAACCGGCACCTCCAGTCCCAGGGTCTCCAACCTCAGTGTCTCTAGCAGCAACACCCCCAGACCCAGGGTCTCCAGCACTAGTACCCTCAGGCTCAGCACCTCCAGCCCCAGCAGCTCCAGTACCTCCAGTATAAGCACCTCAGGGACCAGCACCACCCCCAGCTCCAGTGACGCCAGCAGAAGTAGTTGGTGCAACCCTACGGTTTGCACTCGGCTTGTTGTCCGTGTGCGTGCATGTGTGTGTGTATGGAATGGTATGAGGGCATGGGATAATATATATTTCATGCTTATAATTGTGTGTGAATGTTGAGTCATGATGTCGAGTGTGTGTGTCGAGTCAATAGCGAGTTATCGCTAGACGCGTATTACGCGGTCGTTTGTGTCTCGCGCACGGTTTCTATTTTTGCCGTGCGCGGTTTCTATTTTGTCCTGTGTCGAACGTTTGGCGTGTCGCAGGTGTGTGCAGCAGACCCATCAAGAACTCAAGGATGAGTTTGTGATGAAGAGCCCGAGCCTTGGTGTCAAGCCTCAAGTGATTTCGAAGCTCGCCAAAAGGGTACACCTCAAGATATTGAAGATAGTTACATTACTTTGTGTAGTGTAACATTTCACTTGGTGTAGGCCCTAGTGAAGGGTAGTTTCGAGACCCTTCATGGTTGGGGACACTGTGGCACTGTTCCACATCACTGTACCTCGGCTCTTGGGGTTTGTAGGAGCTGGGAGTCATTCCCAACTCGTAACTCTTCATATCTCTTCCTATTTTGTGTTCTAAGACTATAGTGGCTGCCATAGTGCCGTTCGTTCAAACCGACACAGTGTCGTCAATACTTGGTGAGATTGTGCGATCTAAATTGCCTATTGTAGGCGACGTTCAGACGCTCCAGATCCAAGTTGAATCAGGTCATTTAAAGTTGTGACCAGAACGCTATGAACGTTTGAAGCCGCTGTGCAGAAATCCGGCTGTGCACTCTATCTTTCGTTTTAGGCACATTGGAGCCTATTGTGACTATAACAGAAGTACCTCCAGCGGCAGAGCCCCAAGCTCCAGAAGCGCGACCTTGACGGCAACCGTACCAGTCATGTAGCTGCTGTGAGGTATGAGACACACGCGGACGAAGGCAGCTACTCCAAGGAGACCACGCAACAGCAGACTAAGAACCCTTAGGCGTCGCACCTCCAGCGCCAGCACCCGCAGCAGCTCCACAACCTCCAGCTCCAGCGGCACCAGCGCCAACACCTCCAACAGCTCTAGAACCTCCAGGGCCAGCACCCACAGCAGCTCCAGAACCTCCAGCTCCAGCGCCACCAGCGCCAGCACCTCCAACAGCGCTAGAAGCTCTAGCGCCAGCAACCGCAGTAGCTCCAGAACCTCCAGCAGAAACAACTCGAGTAGCAGAGTCACCAGCTCCAGCACCTCCCTCAGCAGGACCCCTAGCTCCAGCAGCGTGACTCTGACGGCTAACGTACCACTCACGCAGCTGCTGTGGGGAGAGAGGGAGACGACGACGAGAGTGCAGCGGCGAGGCACCAGCAGAGCGACTACAGAGACGGCCGCTCCAGGGAGACTACTCATCAGACACCGCAACGCCCCCACGCGCAGCATCCCCAAACTCAGCACCCCCAGGCTCAGCACCCCCAGACTCCTTACGCACAGGCTCCGCACCTCCAGGCTCCGCACCCCCTGGACCACCACCCCTAGGCTCCGCACCCCCAGGCTCAGCACCCCTAGAAGGAGCACCCCGAGTAGGACCAAACCCAGGCTCAGCACCCCCAGCAGGACCTGAGTCACCAGTGACCTCAACTGGTGTAGTCAAGGGAGGAGGGTCTACCTGAGACACACCTGAAAGAGCAGGACCGGGAGCGGGGAGGGGGGCTACCTGGGGAGCACCTGGTGCGAGGGTACGTGAGTGGTACGCTCAGAGTAGAGGGTCTCTCAGTTCTGTTCGCTGCTCTTACGTGATTCGCACTGGTGCTCGGACTGGTCAGCCTTGTGGGACACCTAGTCACACACAGTCCCGCTGCTTCGCCCGTCTGAGCGACGCTTGGCGTACCGAGTTTGGCGACGAGGCTGAACTCCCCGACTGCGTGGAGTTGCTTAGGCAGAGGGTAGATATATTTGCTCTTGACTATGATGCTATTCTCACTGCCATGTATGCATTGCCTACTAGTGCTGACCGTGCCGGTCACCTGTGCGTACCGCCTGACCCGGGTATAGAGCCTGCTGCTCTAGCTGCTGGTGAGGCTGCTGCTCTGGGTGCTAGTGAGTCTCCTGCTCCAGGTACAGGTGCGGCTGCTGCTCTAGGTGCTAGTGAGTCTGCTTCCCCAGGTGCGGGTGAGTCTGCTCTCTCAGGTACCGCGTCGGCTCCGGCCTCTCACACCTTCACTCTTGACTCGGGGGCTTCCCGCTCCTTCTTTCGAGACCGCACCACACTCACGCCGCTTGGTCGGCCAGTTGCAGTCTCTCTGGCAGACCCCTCTGGGGGTCCTGTCCTTGCTCACTTCTCCACTGTCCTCCCGTGTCCGGCGGCCCCCTCTGGCACCCTGTCTGGTCTTTACCTCCCCTCGTTCTCTACGAACTTGGTGAGTGGTGCTGACCTGCAGGATGCGGGGGTTCACCAGTTCACTCCTGCGAGTCAGCGGGTGACCCACTGCACGGACACTCGGACAGGCCGACACCTGGCCAAGTTTACACGTCGGCCCGGGTCGAGCCTGTACACGCTGACCAGTGCGTCTCCTCCAGTCACTGCGTCTGGTCAGGTAGCTGCGTCGGGTCAGGTGTTTGCTGCAGCGTCCGGGTCTGGTCCTGAGTCTTCCCCCGTGCTCGTGTCGTCTCCTGTCTCACGAGACTCTCCTCTAGCACCACCGCCTTGGTCACCCCTCCCTGCTTTCTCTCCGAAGCATGGCCTCCCGTGTCCTTGTCTCTGGTCTTCCCCGGTCCCTCCCTCCCCTTCCTCCGGGGCCTGGCCCTACCTGCGTCCCCTATGTCGAGGGGCGGCAACGGGCTGCCCCTCATTCCTCTCAGT